TATATATATTTTACTACCAATTTCTAGAAGCAGACCGATACCTGTGCTACTCAAGCTCTTTCGGAGTTTTCTTAACAAGCTATTCGAATATGAATATTGGAACGAAACTGATTTTTACGGTTTAATCCTTAAATGCCAACTTGCGAACCCTAATGTGTATGCTTTTTTTTTTTAAATTTTTGATTAGTATTCTAAAAATACATGTTAAGAATGGTCTTTAGAGAGCACGAGATGAATTCGTAGGCAGTTTCCCAGGATTCAAAATAAAATGATTTAGATTTTTTTGTAGTTTTCAAGCACTTGCTTTCGTTGAAGTTAAAATTGATAGGAAATGTTTCGTCTTCTATATTGTACATATATTTTCATTTCAGCTTACAAAAAATTGGACAAAGGTAAGTATTTCTTTTATTTATTAACCGAAAAGAAATCATGGTTAATAAATTTACAAATAATGTTCAAAAATAAATCTATACAAAGTACTTGGGGATGAACAGTAAGCAAAAAATAAAAATACCTCCATGAATAACTTTTCATCTACGTTCAAAGACTCAGTATTAATAGTTCAAGGTTGTGACCTTAATTAAGGTAATAAATATGCCCTATGCTTTATATGCTAATTAATGACCTTAAATGTGCCCCAAATATGCAATAATCAATATTAGTTGCAGGCAATATTTTCAATTTTGAAATCAGACACAAAAGCTCACCTTTTTTTTGACGGATTTGGATTTTTCCCTTTTAAAATCTAGGATGTAGCAATCATCTAGGAAATACAGTCCAAATAGTTTGATCCGGTTCAAGGTTCGGACCCTGAGACGTTAATTTCACAATTTATGTATTTCATAATATCAAGAGAACTTTTCAAGCAAATTATAATTTTTTTGAAAAAATTGTAAAATTCGTTTATCCAAAGATTATTTCTAGCAAAAAATAAATTTTAGCAAATATTTATTATTTTATTTAATATTAGTCGAAGAAAGTTTGATTGGTATAAGGTTACAATTTTTACGTCCTTTTAAAGAACGTAGTTTTGCATGACAAAATGCCTTCAAGTACTTCCTGTCGATTAGAATTGTAAGTATTCGACTTTTTCAAAATTCGAAATTTTCGAAATTCACAATTTTTCGAAATTTGGAACAGCAGAGTAATAAGAGGTGAAATATGAACTAAAAAGCGAAAATCTTCTTTGAAAATCTTCGTTCTTTCAAAATTTCAGAAAATCAGTAAACAACGAACATATTTGAAATTTTTATGCCCAAAGGTGAACAGAACGAATATCTTTGTTTCCAACCATTATACTTGAATCTCTGAAGCAAAACAAAAAATTCTTTTTGGCTCCAACTGATTGAAATATTCAAAACGGAAGATTGAACCAAAAAATTTTCATCCGTAAAAATGCTTCAATTGACTGAAAATCTGCTGGTATAGAACCGAAAAGTAATCATGTGCAAAAAAAAACAATAACTTAAAATTAGAGATTGTAAAAAATGCACATAAATATTTTTAATAGGTTAAGCTTTTAGAGAACATGATTGTTGTCAAAGTGTAAAAATGTGCAGGTGATTTTAAAGAACTCAAACATATGGAATGCGAATCTCCCTTTTTTTTGTTGTCGAAGACGGTGTTAATGAATGGCTCCAACATAACAAATAAATTAAGACAAAAACATAAAAAACGCTCCTCGTATAGTTTAAACTATTATAACATTTTTAGAGCTGCCAACTACGACGCATTTTGCAAAATATTTTATAGAATAGTGGACAAACAAAACAAAAGCTTTAATAATGTTGGCTAATTTTGCCAATATTTAAAAAGCTTCCTCATGATCTTTATGGCTTCCCCGCAATGTGGAATAAAATGACTTTTTTTTAAAGGAATTCTTGAATCGTTCATGTGTGTGTTCATGTGTAATAACTTTAATTAAAATTTACTAAACAAGGAATCATACATTAAAACTTAAACATTGCTACTACTAAAAGAAATCGTCCTATAAAGCAAAGAAAGTTTGCAGCCTTGCATTTTATCTACTGCTGTAAGTCTCACAACAAAGAATCATACATTAAAACTTAAACCTTGCTACTACTAGAAGAAATCGTCCTACAAAGCAAAGAAAGTTTGCAGCCTTGCATTTTATCTATTGCTGTAAGTCTCATAACAGAGAATCATACATTAAAACTTAAACCTTGCTACTACTACTAGAAATTGTCCGACAAAGCAAAGAAAGTTTGCAGCCTTGCATTTTATCTGCTGCTGTAAGTCTCATAACAAAGAATCATACATTAAAACTTAAACCTTGCTACTACTAGAAGAAATTGTCCGACAAAGCAAAGAAAGTTTGCAGCCTTGCATTTTATCTACTGCTGTAAGTCTCACAACAAAGAATCATACATTAAAACTTAAACCTTGCTACTACTAGAAGAAATCGTCTTACAAAGCAAAGAAAGTTTGCAGCCTTGCATTTTATCTACTGCTGTAAGTCTCACAACAAAGAATCATACATTAAAACTTAAACCTTGCTACTACTAGAAGAAATCGTCCTACAAAGCAAAGAAAGTTTGCAGCCTTGCATTTTATCTACTGCTGTAAGTCTCATTCGTTTGCCATATGCAAGAGTGTTATTGGCGGTTAATATTTTACACTTACTTCATTTTATGTACATTTGATGTTATAGTTTTGAGGCAAAGCTTGACAATATCCCTTCCAATATAATTTAAAATTAGTTGTGTACTGTAAAGGAGAAAAACTATCATTTTGCTGATAACTGTAAATTAATTTGAAATTATCAATTGTCAATGCACTTGATGATATTAACCTTCCGTTAGTCGCGCACTTGTTTCCGACATGGTTAATCGCGTTGCACCTATGAGGTGTTTCTGATTTTTTGAAAGCCAAATGAAATTTAGTCTAGTTTAAATAGTGAATTGTTACCAATTTAAGACTCTTTAGAGAGATAAATATCAAAAAATTTATTTCGCGAAGTACCGAAGATAAATTTTTCTTGTTCCCGCGTCGGATCTCTTCCTCCATCACAAGATGTTCAACCAATTGACGCAAGAAGGTTCTGCGTTTTTTACTCCGTAACCATTTTCTGTGTATATAACTTGACCATTTATACCTGCTACGTTGAGAGGGACAGAAAATGAGATAAAATATATATATTTAATTCATAAAAATATTATATCCATAATACTTGCGTCAATGGTCGCGCTGCACCAGAGGGGTGATTTGAGCGATTCCAACTCTCCATCGACATGTTCTATGGTCGGTTTTACACGGACATTTGAGTAATCCAAAGTTAGGAAGATAACATTAGGCTCGACCCCCGGAAAAACCTATTGACGGCAAAGGAGGTGGAAGTGCAGTAGGGATGCACCTGTGAGGTGCGCGCGACTAACGGAAGGTTAAAAGCTTGTTAGTTGTCATAGATTTTGGTTTGAAGTGTAGTTTCGAATTATTACAGTAATTTAATTTTGTGTATATGTGTGGTTATATTTATATTTCCGAGGTATAGTAATCCAATATTCCTTCCAATTCGATTTAAAATTAGTTGCGTACTATAAATACGTGCGGCAAGGATTATGCTAAAAATGTATAATTCATCAGATTAGATTCATTGACAATGCACTAACTGATGTCAAATGCTTGCATTAGGCTTATCAGCACGAGCTGACACCCAGTTCCCCTAAGCCTATATCAAATAAATTAATTTAGGCTTAGCGTGTCTATTAAATTATTGCATATAATTCATTTTTCTATGTACTATGCGTTTGTATTTTCATTTCTGAGATATACTGTGCCAATGTTCCTTCCAATCTAATTTAAAATTAGTTGTTTATTATAAAGATGAACACACGGAGTATGCCGATAACTGATCACTAAAAGCGGATATGATCAAATGACAATGCATTTGATGATATGAAATGCTTGCCATCATTGATTTAGATTTAGTGCGCTTTCTTGAATTAATATACAAACTTTTTTTAATGTAAATCAGTGATTATATTTTTGAGGTATACTATGCCAATGGTTCTTCCAATTTAATTTGAAATTGTTCGCGTCTTAAACAGGTGAGCATCACTTATTATGCTACAGAGATGGAGAAGTAATATTCCAAGTGCTTGAAATGCTCCCTAAATAATTTATCTAGAGTTACATTTTACACGTTGGGCGCCAAGCTAATTTTACATGGCTTGCTAATCTGGCCACGGTACTAAATTTGCAAATATTAGACGGATTTTGCTATGATTTAGAAGGTTTATTATGACATATCTGACCAAAGTGGTGAATTATATAAGCCTACGAATTGTGTAGAAATAGTGGTGGATAAAAATCTACTAAATTGAATTTATTAAACCAAAAATCACAAAAATTAAGTAAATTTTGAATAAATTTTCTGCAATTCCGTAAAAGAGTGTAAATTTTATAGTTCTATATCATGTTATACGCTGTCAGACAGCTGTTTTTCGCGGCCTATATAAAAGGTCAGTGTCAGCAAGCTGGGGCAGACGCGGCCTAAATGTAATTTCAGTGTCAGCCACCGGTGGTTGATGCCACCTAAATGGAAAGTCCAGTGTCAGCCACCGGTGGTTGACGCCACCTAAATGGAAAGTCCAGTGTCAGCCACCGATGGCTTAAGCGGCGCTCAACGTGCTAAACGCTGAATCAATTTTCTTATCAGATATAATTTGATATCTGAACATAACATAACGCGTGTGTGTGAAACCTCATTGGCTGAGCCACATGGGAAGAAGTTTGCAGATATTGAATTGCATACTTTCACCAGGCATTCAATTGAATCATTTAATAAAAGTTGGAAAGCATAAAATTATTAAATTACAGCGAAGCAGAGGTAGTGCTTCTTTTCAATAATTCTTTTCTTCACAATATTTTTTTTAATGAATAATATCATTTTTTTACAGGTTCACACAAGTCACAGTGAATGATGTTCGTTGAAAAAGAATCCCCGTCAGATGCATAGCTATGATCCTGATTATTGTGAATTAACGTACTCTCTAATATTACATTTAATTTGAAAACTATTTCTGTTACTTTCGTTTTAAGTTGTTTGTTAAGGTTCTGAAATAAAATAAAATTGTATTTTGAAAAGAGTTTCGTTTTTGGTCAATGAAGTAAATATACAGGGTTATTCATAATTCCCTCCGCCTGCAAACGCAATTTTTTTTATTACAACTGGCTTCAGTGGTACGTGTTATTGCCATCTACCGGCAACTGCTTAAATTAAAACTTGAATACTTTCGGAATAATTTCATATGTTCTTTTTTGCCATATTCGTCTTCGTTTTTTTACTATAACGCTTCGAAACACCAGAGGGAATTATGAATAACCCTGTATATTTGAAAAACTTAGCGGAAGAACCGGTTAAGTGACACTTTAGTGATTTTGAGTTAATGAGAGCTAAAGTTTATACATTCCTCCACTTTCTTTTTTCGGTCAATTCTTATGATTTTAGCATGTTTGTGAGGACATGTCTCACAAAATTTTTGTAGGTCTATTTATTTAATTCTAACTCTTTTATCAAGAAAGATTTTTAATGATATATGTGCGTAGCATTAGCTTGTTTTCATGGACGATTCTTAATGCTTTTCATCGAATATAGTTTGTTTGAAAAGATACATATATATATATTTATGATATATTATTTTATACATATACTACAATATACTTTATATTTAGGCTTATATTCATAGAATAAAATTTTAGCAACAAACTTATACGAAAGTTTATCTAACATTGTTAGTCCGAAAGCCGATCAAAAGCAATCCGGAGGCCGTGTGAACTCCATCCGCAGATGTTTAATCGGTATTTAGCTCTCTAATTGGCGAGAATTCGGCAATTTTTGATTTTAAAATAAAATGCACTTCTAAACAGCACTGATTGTGATAAAAATGTTTTGTCATTTTGTTATAACTAAAGGTATTTCTAAAATTCAATGCAAGCATTTTTATTAGTTTTAATACAAAAAAGATCTAGATATAGTTGTTGAAATACAAATTATTTTAAATTTTTCTTTAAAAATTATGCAGTTTAATGAAAAAATGACCAATTTTTATTAATAAAAATGATTGTAAAACAGTTTTTTTTTCTGTCGTAGTAGACAATGTCTTCATGATTAGTTACGCGATTCTTACTTTTCATTATTTAATTTGCCACTTCACAAATTTCCGCCGTTAATCAATAATCCACTCAGTGAATATGCAGCTTTTTTCTTATTTTCAACTTCTTAACCACGAGTCTAGAAGACGAGAGAACACCTGTTTAAAAGACAAAGTCACATTAACCTTCAAAGATAATTCTTTTGAGTGAAACTTATCAGCATTTGCGCAAAATGGCTGAACAAATACGAAAACCTCTCGTGGTTAGCTCGATGCCGATGGAGCTCTCATAAGTTTCTACCAAAGTAAAATTTACATCAGAATGGTAACAGGGAGCAAAATAAAAATTGGCTATCCATCACTGTGTTTCGTTCATAGGTAGACTTAATTTGTCTCCACTGAGCCATGCCGATTTTTATGAAAAAGTTGCCATTCGTTTTGTCAAACATGTAAGTACGCTTATCATTTCGGATTTAAAAGTCAATATTTTAAGCGAGAGCACACAACTTCAAAATAGTTGATGAGGCTCTTCTTATCTACAATTTAACAATAATATAATTCGAAAAATAGACATTTTTTCACAATAGATATAACTGATTTGGTAAATTGTTGCTGTTTTAATATGAAATATTTATTCAAACGTTCGTTTTGCCAAACATATAAGTACGCTTATCATTTCGGATTTAAAAGTTAATATTTAAAGGGAACGCACACAGCTTAAAAATAGTTGATGAGGCCCTTCTTACTAACAATTTAACAATAATAATTCGAAAAATAGAAATTTTTTCATAATAGATATAATTGATTAGGTAAATTTTTGCTGTTTCAATGTGAAATATTTATTCAAACGTTTGTCTTGTCAAGCATATAAGTACGCTTATCATTTCGGATTTAAAAGTCAATATTTTAAGCGAAAGCACACAGTTTAAAAATAATTGATGAGGCCCTTCTTATTAACAATTTAACAATAATAATTCGAAAAATAAAAATTTTTTCACAATAGATATAACTGATTAGGTAAATTGTTGCTGTTTTAATATGAAATATTTATTCCAACATACGTATCACGAAATCTACAATGAGTACTTAAGAAATATATTCTTTACAGCCTAGCGAGTAGAATAAGTACCAGAAAAAATTGTTGTTTACTGTAATTTTTGATTATCAGCAGTTGATCTCGAGTATTGGAATCATGCTGAATGATTGTGTCGGCATATCTCTTTTTAATTGTGTGCTCGATTTTACGATGTTGATCATTACCGATTTATTGATTATTTAATTTAACTTCAAGAAGAAAAACGAGTATTCAGCGAGTAATAATAATAATGAACTGTAAAAATTGCCTAAGCGAAAAATAATATTTATTTTAACTCGACTTTTTTTGAGAAAAAAATAGTTAAATTTTTTTTCTACTGCAGTGTGTCTGAAATACAAACAAACTAATGCGAATCAGTAATTAAAATATTGTATGTTGAAGGTGTTTAAAAGTTTTTTTGTCTTGTCTCTTTCAATTATTGATTCATGAAAAAACATAAATTCTTCTTTAATGTATGGAGACTGCTGTTTCAAGTTTTTCGTTTTCTCGATTTTTTCCCTCTCCGCGATTTGTGTTCGATACCAAGCAATACAAGGATACTTCGAGTTTGCCTCGACACAGTTGATGCATGAACTCTTTTCCTTGCATTCACTCTTTCTGTGCCCACTCGAGCAGCAATTGGCGCATGTTTCCTCGTACTGGCAATGCTTGCTGAGTGCCCGAGCCTATTGCATTTATAGCAGCCCAAGGGCCTGAGGTATTCTTTGACTTTGTGGGTGTACCAGCTGAGGCAGACGCTACCCTTTCTGACAATTTCGCCGAAAGAACTAGGATCAGACGAACTACCTAGTGAACACCTTTTTTAGAATTAATTGAAAACAAAGCCTCCACTTCTTTCTCATTAATCTCTCTATTGGTCTCTTCTAACCTGGAAACTAGATCCTCTTTACTCAAAGTCTTCTCAACCTCATAAATTATGGCTCGTGGCTTAAATCTCTTAATTTCCTGACACTCCAGGTCTTTGCTCAACGGGAAACTAGTAAGAAAATTTATTCGGAAAAACAATTTAATAAAACCCATAATAAAAAGAAAATGTTATTAATTTTATTACAAAAAAAAGTAAGTAGTTTGATCCGTTTTTATTTATTTGGTGTCCTTTTAACCGACCTGTTCAAACGTCTTTTGAGAGATTTGTATTGAAAATCAGCAAACTTTTAGTTGGTNGACAAACTGAAAAAATGGGTAGACTCGCCCCGGTTTACGGTAATCTCTTCCTTAACCGGAAAATAAGGAGATGACTTGTTTTCGAACTGATCGATTTAAATATATTTTATTTCTCGAATCATGTTCAAGTCTTTCAAGGTATATAGTGTATGATTTTTTTTAAATATTTGTGTAATAGTAAAATTTTCTAAATTTTACTGGAATTTTCATATTTTGCTCCATTGACAAACTTGCAATCTAGTTATACGAAATGTTTTATCTGTTGAAGAAGTCCGTTGATTGAATGTTATATTAAATTAATAGTTGAAAAAAAAAACGTTGCCTTTTCAAAGTTCTATATGTTGTGGTTCATTTTATACCTGATAATATAGCGATAAGTAAAATTTCATTATTTACAATGTTAACATTCATTTTAGTATAATGGGTAGACTCGCCCCATACGAGAGATTTGTCAGCAGTTCTATAAAAATATACAGTAACAGCGTAACGGTTAATATTTTCTAATATCGATTTCACAGTTTTAAAAAGGGATAAATAGGGAATCCGAAACACCTATTAAAAGCCTTTTTTCTTTAATATTTACGAAAGTTTGACCAGTTGAAAGTTGACAAACTGAAAAAATGAGTAAACTCACCCGGTTTACGGTAATCTCTTCCTTAACCGGAAAATAAGGAGATGACTTGTTTTCGAACTGATCGATTTAAATATATTTTATTTCTCGTATCATGTACAAGTCTTTCAAGGTATATAGTGTATGATTTTTTTTAAATATTTGTCTACTAGTAAAATTTTCTAAATTTTTCTGGAATTTTCATATTTTGCTCCACCGACAAACTTGCAATCTAATTATACGAAATGTTTTATCTGTTGAAGAAGTCCGTTGATTGACTGTTATATTAAATTGACAGTTGAAAAAAAAACGTTGCCTTTTCAAAGTTCTATATGTTGTGGTTCATTTTATACCTGATAATATAGCGATAAGTAAAATTTCATTATCTACAATGTTAACATTCATTTTAGTAGAATGGGTAGACTCGCCCCATACGAGAGATTTGTCAGCAGTTCTATAAAAATATACAGTAACAGCGTAACGGTTAATATTTTCTAATATCGATTTCACAGTTTTAAAAAGGGATAAATAGGGAATCCGAAACACCTATTAAAAGCCTTTTTTCTTTAATATTTACAAAAGTTTGACCAGTTGAAAGTTGACAAACTGAAAAAATGGGTAGACTCGCCCCGGTTTACGGTAATCTCTTCCTTAACCGGAAAATAAGGAGATGACTTGTTTTCGAACTGATCGATTTAAATATATTTTATTTCTCGTATCATGTTCAAGTCTTTCAAGGTATATAGTGTATGATTTTTTTTAAATATTTGTGTACTAGTAAAATTTTCTAAATTTTTCTGGAATTTTCATATTTTGCTCCACCGACAAACTTGCAATCTAATTATACGAAATGTTTTATCTGTTGAAGAAGTCCGTTGATTGAATGTTATATTAAATTGACAGTTGAAAAAAAAACGTTGCCTTTTCAAAGTTCTATCTGTTGTGGTTCATTTTATACCTGATAATATAGCGATAACATAAGATAAACTAGGCTTCACTTTATATGATTATTTTAAAAGCCAAATTATAATTTGATTTGGAACTTCCTTAGAAAAATGAAACTATTGTTATTCCTAAAGCTTATTTGGCTATTGATTTTGAACGAAATAATTTACCAAAGCAATGCATATCATCTAAAAAACAAGCAGGAGATAGATTTAAGAAAACTGACGACATTATTCAAAGATGGGGAATTAATGAATGTTAATGAATATAAAGTCAATCCATCCCTCAAAAGCATCAATATTTTGGTGAATGATATTTATAAAGGTAAGTAAATTAAGTTCTTATTTATATACTTTTTATGTTTATCTTTTTTAAATTCACCTCTTATTATATCACTCATTGACCTTCAGTGTTATCTGGCTAAGTAAAGAAAAATATGCTTGGTGGAAAAAATAAATAAGCAATTTTGAAAAGTCTAGAACATAACATATACCTAAATTTTAAGAATATTTAAGTTGAAATTCAATTCGCAGTTAAATTTCAGAGTAAATTGATAAGTGGCTTTAGGGTTTAGAATTAAATTAGTGCAAAGTTCAATCTAAATACGTTAACAAATTACTTCTTTAATATAAATGACAATTTTTGGCTTTCTCACTATTAACTAATCTAAAGTAATTCAATAATTTATTAAAAAAAGTGCCTTCTAGATGTTTCATTACAACAACAAAAAACCATGTTTCCATTGGAGTACTAACTATGCTTAACCTAATATATTATATTACATAATACTGTCCTTAAGTCATGGCAGACCTAGTTAAAACTCTTTATACGTCTTAGTAACCGAAAAGTTAAAAGACACTTTTGTCCACAGGTAAACAAAACGTACATTTCACTAAAAAAGATAAGGTTATTAAGTTTGCTAATGCCACTCATAAAGAAGAAGTAAAAACTTAATGATCTTCAAATTGCATCTGAATTATTAATTTTGACTTGCAATTGATTAACATCTAATAGTTAATAAAAAAGAATAAACTTATATCAACCCAAAAAAATTTTTTTGGGCACCAACTTATTACCTGTTACGGAAAAAAGAAAATCATACAAGTTAATTTGTAATAAAACAAAATGATAAATCTCTTTCATATCATTGACATTATTTTTGATATGGAGCTTAAATTTAAAATGAATGTCAAGGTAGGATATATTTTTAAGTAGACTGTACTAAGAAATTTATAATTTGATGGATTTGTAGGTTCATATTTTGGAATATCTTACTTTTTAAGTGATTCCATTTGACTTTTGTTTATTAGAAATGGAATTTTCAAGATTTCCTTTCTTTAAAAATCAAATGAATTTCTTTTCCATAATAGTTTTTAAGGATGGTTGTATCCTTTCCTCTTATTAGTTTTCTGGGAAGACATTTTTTACTAGATTTTTAGAAAAGGATTTATACTGTATTAGTAAGAGCACCTCAAAATTTCCGATGTTGCAGTTAATAACAGCAGAAGAATTATTTCTGNGACAAAATTTTAATATAAAATGGAAACAAGAGCTTTGACATGATTTCCTTACTCAAAAGATGTGTAATTAGTATGACGCTTTATTTTAAACAGTTTAAATTAGTAAAGAATATCATTTACTACATTATTTTTAAAATTTCTAATACCTCTCTCTATACTTTTAGAAGCAATTCATGAATGCAGTGAAAAGGACTGTCCTGGTGAAAATGCCATATGTAAACCGTCGGGTCATGATTACACTTGCGTGTGTATGAAAGGTTTCAAACCAAAAGATGATACTAAAGAAGGAGAAAAGGATTTAGACTGTATTGGTAAGAGCAAACATAATTTAAAATGAAAGGTAAAAATTCCAAAGTTTCAGTTAATGACACCAAAAGTGTTTTTTCTGACAAAAGTTTAATATAAGATGGAAACAAAAGCTTTAACATGCTTTCCTTACTCAAAAGATGTGTAATTAGTATGACGCTCAATTTTAAACAATTTAAATTAGTAAAGGATATCATTTACTACATTTTTGCTAAAATTTCTAATATCTCTCTCTATACTTTTAGAAGCAATTCATGAGTGCAGTGAAAAGGACTGTCCTGGTGAAAATGCCATATGTAAACCGTCTGGTCGTGATTACACTTGCGTGTGTATGGATGGTTTCAAACCTAAAGATGATTCTGAAAAAGGAGAAAATGGTTTAGACTGCATTGGTTAGAGCAATCATAATTTAAAAAGAAATGTATCACCTCAAAAGTTCCATTGTTCCAGCTGTTCATTAATCGTATAAAAATTTTAAAAAAAAGTTTTCAACACATTACTTTAAGAAAAAAGATATATGTGTTTCTCATAAAATTTCAGTCAATTATCAATTTTAAAAAAATCTTTGCTATAATTTTTTTTTACAACAAAACAGTTTTACAAAATTTTTTGTACTTTTTAGTAGAAATTTATGAATTTCGTATGGATAGAAATTAATAATAATAATATTTGAATAAATAAAAGAAAGATAAATTTTGGAAAGTCTTTCGCAAAAAAAAAAAAAAACATCCATTAATAAAGTATTTGGGGAAAAGTCTTTCTCAAAAAATGATAGAAATTATTTCCAATAAGAAAATCTTACTGTCACTTTCCATTCTGTCACTTTTTTAAATTCAGTGTTACATTCACTTCCCGAAAATATTCAGTAGGATGAATGACTTAAGAGAATCACGATTCCCGAGTGATGCTTTAGGCGAATCTCTTTCTACCAATTCCACAAATAGGTGACTTTTGGTTTTTGTACTAAATGTTTATTTGTTTTAGGAAATTCCTTTGAGTTTTTTTAATCTGGTCGCCCAGTGGATGCCCTGGATAGGGAGACAGATTCGATTAAACTGCTACTTCATGACTCAATAGCAGACATTTGAAATGTTTGATCTTTGAGTCTGTGAGCCGGGTCTTTCCTACATGTACGAAGTGCATGTTCTATCCATCTTCATAAAATCACATAGGCTCTTAATTTTTACAGGGTTCATGAACTCATGAATTTGATCTAGCTAGTGCTATCAAGCGAGATTGGCAACAGCAAACTCGCCTAATTTTCAAAAGTTTAGGAAATTCTTTTTACAGGAGAATTTTTGTAAGCTGAAGAGAATGCAGTAAAAATCCTGGTCTCAATGTGACAATAATTAAGTTATCAATTATATTGTGAATCTGGATACAAATTGAGGAAAAGTTCTACGAAAGCAGGAAATAGTGCGATATTTGAATATGAGTAATATTAGAAAGAACGTACAACACAATAATTTGATAACTTTATGAATGATATTTTCAAATATCTTCTGGCCTAACCACCAATGTTTTTTGAATTTTTCAGAAAATTCTATTTTTATATTTAAAGTGGTAGTAAAATCTTTGTTTTTTTTTCTATTGCATTCTGTTTTTTATAAAACTAACGAACGAAATTAATTAAAATAAGAACGTTTCTAACTATGACAACAAATTAATAAATTAAACAAATACATCTATAAATTGGTTCGATCAAGTTCTGGAAAAACTATAAAAAAATTGTCGATAATTGAATTTTCAATTTATGTTTCATTGCCACTTTAAGATAGCAATTTTGAAAAGAGCTAAAATGAACAATTTTGATAAAAGCTTCCATAACATCCTCTGTATCTAATAACTTTGAGTAAAGTCGGTCGAATTCTAGTTTCTAAGAACTAGAATTTTTAAAATGTCTTATTTTAAAAATTCAATTTCCGAGGAACTTTTCGACTGATATTATTAAAATTTTGTATTTTACCAGTTAAAATTATATTCTTTAAAATGATGTAAAAACTGTATACCTTACAATTTAAAAGTTTTTCGACTATTATTAAATAAATTAATGAAAAGCATATAATACTTGAAGTTATTTTCTGCATGGAATTATTTTTGGATAAATGAATCTCATAATTGTGAGCAAAGAATGTTTCAATTGACTCAGATATCTATTGAAATATGACGACATACATTGAAAGTAAAATTAACATTAATTGGTCCATTCTCTGGACAGCTCTCCTGTCCAAACTATTAAGACCATTTTTCGCAGATTACGGCTTTCCCTTATATTTTGAGGGCTAAGAATCCGAATCCCACGAAAAAATGATGCTTTTTCAAAGATAAACGTTTTTGCTCCTGATTTCGTAACTTTAAATATCATCTGCATGAATTAATTAGCATACAGGGTGTCTCAGTTAAGCGTTTCAGAACTTCTAAGAGGGGTAGGGGGCATCCTGACGACTCGAAATCATATAGCAATGTGGGGTCGAAAATGCTTTCCTGAAGCGGTGACGTACACAGAAGCACTATAAAGAAAAGAGACCGTAAGTGAAGAATCGCTATAATAATACACTGAAAAAATTATATGGCCTCCTCGGTCACCCGACCTTTCATGTCTTGATTTCTGGAGTCATATGAAAACACTGGTTTATGACACCCCTGTTGATAATGCTGGTTGCAAGATTCGCAGTAGCTGCCTGCGAGATATACCTGGAGTATTGCAGAATGTTCGAATGTCCATGCGCCGGAGAAGTGAGGTGCACATTGTAGCCGGTGGCAGAAACTTCGAACACTTACTTTGGCTCATGTACCATATAATTTTTTCAATGTATTATTATAGCGATTTTTCACTTACGGTTTCTTTTCTTTATGGTGCTTCTGTGTACGCCACCGCTTCAGGAAAGCATTTCTGACCCCACATTGCTATATGCTTTCGAGTCGTCAGGATGCCCTCTACCCCTCTTAGAAGTTCTGAAACGCTTAACTGAGACCGTATATTTACTTCCTCGAAAAATTAAGATTCATTTCTGGAAAGTAAAGATCTGATCATTAGATAAAAATTTATTCAGGGCCGATCGTTTTTTATTATGCGCCAAACATTGAATTTTACTGGAGCTCTCTGACTTAGTTGTCTCACCTGAAGCATGGGTTCGAATCCCACCTAACCCTAGATTTATCTTCTTGCTATCTTTCTCTGAATTGTGGTGTGGGGAATTATAAATCGACTATGCCAACCTTCATCTATCCAGATGTACCTTTTGATAGATGAAGGTTGTCGATATTTATAATTGACCACAATGGTGACCCGGACGTGATATGAACTCGCTAACATGATGGATGGTTCATATTAAAACAATTGATTTGATTAATATAAACTGCTCAAGGAAAGATCCGGAGAAAGTAAATAAAGTCTCCCGATAATAAACAATATAGAAAAAAAATGAGCGAAATGCTATAAACAAAGAAAAAAAATGAAAAAAAAATGAGCGAAATGATATAAACAAAAAATGAAAAAAAAAATGAGCAAAATGCTATAAAAACAAAAAAAATTAAGAAAGAAATGTTTTTTTTAAAAAAATGAGCAAAAATTTTATAAATAAATAAACAGCATGAATCAACTAGTGGAATATGTTCATCGAATTCTATCACAGATAAAATTATGGAAGGGGAGTTACGTGGAGCGTAGTGTAACTACCACTATAAATATTAAATACGAAATCACTAGTATATAAGACGCGTTAACTTGATTCTTCGTAGAGGTAACTTAAAAGTTGACATAGTCGTAGTTTAATACCCCAGAGTGCAGAAATGACAACTTGCTACGGTACGGACATCAAACATATATTTTAAAGTAGTAGCTTATCAATTGTGATTCTTGGTTAAATAAATTCAATTAAGCAGATTTTTATCCACCACTATTTCTAAATAGTTTGTAGGCTTATATGATTCACCACTTTACAGTAGTTATGCAATAGCAAAATGGCTTTAAACACGAAAAGGCACATTTATCTAATGGGCATAAGACCAATTCTCAGCTATGCATTCCAGGCAGGGGGTGGGGGGAGCGCTTACAAATACACAAAGAAAGAGATTCAGAGTCTTCGAACACAAAACCCTAAGACGAATCACTGGGGCTCCCTGGTTTGTCAGAAATAACACCCTCTTTAATGACCTCAAAATCGACGAGTGCCTTTTTAAACACTTAATGTAATGTGACAATTTATTTTCTATTTTTACCAAAGCCTTTAATTTTTCTTTAAACGTTTTCCTTTTTTCCAATTTAGCAATTTTATTTTTAACTTTCTTGTTGACCTTTCTCATGGTCATTGCGGTCATCGCACTTCCTGTGGGGAAAGTCAGCCAACCCCTCTATTCACGCCTTTCTTTTTCTTCTATTAATTTTAGGGGGGCTAACTAACCAATCTCTTTCCTTTAAATTTCAAACTCTCCGCCTCTTAAAATTTAATTGGTCGTAGTTTTTCTGGTCTACCCCAGTTAAGGAATTTTTAAGTCTTTTAAAATACATTCTCTTTTTCTCGAGCCTTCGGGCAGGTTACCCTTTTTCTCCGAGATGTGGACTTCGGTCCGTATCGAGGGATTTCTTTTTAAATTTTCCTAACCTTTATTTTAAATTAAATCCATAGCTGTAATCAATTTCTGTAAAATTTAAAATAACATTTTATACCTTTAATTTTCTTTAACATTAAAAGCCCTCTCAAATTTTAGTCTTCTTTTCATATTTATTTTAACGGTTAAATTACTCGTTCTTTTATATTTAACTTGATGCATGACGCCTTTGGATTGATTAAATTCTCTTGTCACCTATTTCCTTTTAAAAGATATATTTTTTTGTGCCACAAAATGTGTTGCAATCATATTGTTTGTTTGTTACGAAAAGTAGTTTTACAAAAATAAATTTTTAGTTGAACAGAAAGTTTGGTGTGTTTATTTTTTTAGCTTTACCTTTACAGCTATTAGTTATCACCTTTTTCTTTCTGTATGTGGTGAGTACCTTTTTTTATTGTTATGGGCATGCATAAATGTGAATTTATTAGTTTTTCTTATTGGAAACATCAGATTACTGTTTAAATCATATATATTGTTTGGATATAGCATGACTTTATCGTATTTATCATTAATCTTTAATTTTCTTAGTTTTCCCCCTTATTCTAAATTTGGTGATACCAATTTATCCAATTTGTTCAAAACCTCACACTTTGTGACCCTTTGAACCTATTGAGTTATTGTTATCCCACATTAGCATTGTATTACCACTTTCCTTAATGATCACATTCCCCTTTAATTTAATTTAATTATCCTTTTATATATTTCGGCCTTAATTTGTTTTATCACGACATTTCAATCATTTAACTTTTTTTTATCATGACTATATCCAAATACAAGTACTTTACCAATGATTTCAACCCATCTATCAATTTTATTACATAAATAACTTTATCTTATACGCACCAAAATATATATTTTTATTAAACCCTTACACACGTTCTCCTTAATCATGATGATGTCTACTTGTTTGAGGTCTTATTAGCTATTTTGTTTAGAGTTATCATTTTAATTTTCACAAGCAACATTTACGACTAGTTTGCAAGCATTTAAACACAGAGTGGAACAAAGCTATTGGAAAACTTACTCCAACTCCAGGGCTTGAAGGATCAGTTTNGCGATTTATTTTTATGTATGACCCAGACTTGATTTTATCAATTATTGTTCATTCTGAGATTTAACTAAATGTTAACGCAGCACCTCCCTTCCCTTCCACCACATATTCTTTAATTTAGATGAAAGAGCAGATATCCATTAATGTATAGGTACTCTGAAAAACATGATTAGTTAGTAGTTATGCCATGCCCAAAGCTTCTGCTACTTCTCTTGTATCTCTTGCTAACGTCAGTACTACAGGCTCCTACCGGCACTACTTTATGATAAAGGAGTGGAGTGTCCTCTTCTGGGACAGGTGCTCCGTATAATACTTCAGCCTAGCCTAGTAGTTATGTCATGCTATACCTTTTGTAAAGCAAGCAAAAATTGTCAAATATTTGCAAAATTTACTTTGTGGTTGTTTAACGTTTTTTTTTTAATATTTTGGCGTGCCCGGAGCAGTTGGCATCTCCGTCAGTGGTATCTGTCGTTCTACTTAACAGTGACTTATTTAACCCGTTAAGTAATTGAGCACACTCGCTGGACTATGCATCCGTACCAATTACATAAAATAAACTGAATTTAGCATTTTATAAAAAGATTTAGGTTCAAGATGTATCTAAACATTATGAAAGTGAGGTAGCATCACAATAATTGTTAGATGATATTTCAAAAATTGGTAAAAAAAAATTTCTCTGTTACAGCTGACTACGTTTGTAAAGGCACTGAATGCAAGCATCCATCATCTAAATGCGTAGCCAAGGGTGCTGATTTCTTTTGTGAATGTGAACCTGGATACAAACTAAGGAATGGCAGACAAAAAGAAACAAATAAAGAAGAATGCGAATGTAAGTTATATTATAAAAAATTTGCACAAAAAATAACAGAATTTTATTCCTCAATATATGCACACTATGTACTGCAATATCATGCAAGTATTTTTCTAAAATTTTTGCTGCTTTAAGCTATTCTCTTTCCAATAAAACATAATTTTATTTGATCCAATTTGTTGTTTAACACTAGAAAGACTGAAACTTACTACATACCTAAATTGCCCAAAAACAGTCAAAACGACTGGATTGTAAAAGAATAAATAATGTGTAAAGAAATTTGGTTAAAATTAATTTTTAATATTTTTTGTATTATTTACAGTTATATTACAAATTATTAATAAATATAACAATAAAAAAATTAAGTGTTGTACAAAATTCTAAGAAATTGTGTCATTATATACATCATTGTTTTTCTAATTGAAATTAAAAGCAGTCAAAACTTGCAGTCATAACTTCCTTAGGCAATCTAGTGTTAACGAAACATATATTAAGTAGAATACTTAATTGTAATTTAGGTTTTGTGTTTTCTCGAGTTACAATCAAATTTCTCCTACGGTGTAACTTGGTTCATTTTCCAAGAATGTTGTATAAATGCATCATCTTATAACATATACTCAAAATTCTAAAAATCTATTTAGATTTGAGGCATATCTAAAACTCTTATCGTTGACATTTGGAAAGTGATATTTGTTTAAAGTATTATTTAGATGATATGGCAAAACCTGTAAATAAATTGTGCAGTTACAGATGATTGTTGTACGTATTGTTTGTTTTTTACCAATAAAGCGTTGAAATTTGTTTTAGACAATATGCCGATAATGTCAAAAAGTTAGTAATAAAATAATGTTTTTACAGTTTCATACTACGTTTGTAAAGGCACAGAATGCAAGTTTCCGTCAACTAAATGCGTAGGCAAAGGTACTGATTTCTTCTGTGCATGTGAGCCAGGATACAAATTAAAGAAAGGCAAGACGAAAGAAACAAATAAGGAGGCTTGCGTATGTAAGTTAATACTTAAATAACTATTACGTCATTTTATTCTATTCCGGAAGCATAATATGTAATACAGTATCAGTACTGATTCACATTTGTCACCATTCCCTACGGTTTTGATTACACTTGTGAGTGTAAGGATGGTTTCAAACCAAAATATTATATCATCTTTCAAAAAGAGAAAAGGATGATGTGTGTGTGTGTTGGTAAGAACGAATACAAGATTGCCACACTCTGGAAGTGGGGACAAACATTTTGTGAGATTATCGTAAATGTTACAGCCTTTAAATTCACATCAATTTTAGGAATTCAGCTGTTATAAAAATATTTAATTTTCTAATGATTTTGATCGATAGTTATTAGCTAAAACATTTTTATACCTTGATATTTTTCTACCAGGTTCTAAACTCTTCTTGAAATTGCAAATCCTGAACTATACCAGGTATATTTCACGCATATTGCGTGAGAATTTGAAAATAAATCTCCCACAAATAATATTTTTGTTGGTGAAAAGTTGCAATATTTCTGGAAAAAAATTTTAAAACAGATTTTTTAAAGGAATATATATATACTAGGAGGCTCCGCCCCCTGCTCGCTAACGCTCGCCAGTCTCACGCTTTATAAAGAGTAATTCACACGAATCTGATACTTTTTGTCTCTCTCTGATCTTGAATATTGTTTGTAAACCTTTGAGTAATATGCTTTTTTCAATATATATATATATATATAATATTTTTGTTGGTGAAAAGTTGCAATATTTCTGGAAAAAAATTTTAAATATATATAATATA